TTTCTATACGCACGTATAAACGTAATCGTACTCGAACATAATGAAACAGTACAGTTCACGTGTCTGATTGTTTTTTTTTTTTTTTTTTTTTTTTCTTTGCGAGGCCTTTCGCGTGTGTATATTGCTTTTTCAATGTCCATCGATTGATCCAGCGTAAGTACTTTTGTACTACTTCTATCTTTTCATGCTGGATGTCGAATTTTTATCAGTTTTTCCGTGTTTTGGCGCATTTTTGGTGTCAACGGTGCGCTGCTGGACCATTAGCCCAGGTTTTCGCCCTTTTCTGTCACAAGTAAAAAATTTTTAAATAGTGGAGTTATTTTAATACTATCGTTTGCATATATCATTCCGGAAATTTCAAGCTGTTTTTTAAGTACAAATTTTAAACTTATTGGTCGCTGTACAATATTTTTATATCTTTTTACACAGTAAAAAATCGACTCATATATTATAAGTTGGATTAAAAATATAGTTGGATCAATTAACTATCATACTAAGAGCAAAAATCAAACTATTTCAGCTGTGAAGCAATGCTGAAATTGCACCACGTGTTGCATAAGATGAATGGGGTACATGTAAGAAGAAATGCCTCTATAATAATTGGCTCTGACTTCACACCTGTCGGAAGTGCATAATATTGTGCTCATGTCATTTCCTCCGTACAGGCACTGCAGCTGCATCTTCATAGCTAGAACAGTACGATTTGTTTTCTCAGTGTTAGGCCTAACATAGAGATCCACATAACTCTGGTCTTATCGTTTTCTGTCTCATTCATTTTTTTTCATATACATAGCTTGACTGTCGTAACCGTATATGTGACTGTATTACCCTTACATTTTTTTTCTCTCTTCAAACTCGCGTAAGTGCCACAATAACTTTTTCCCCATTTTCTTCTTTTGCACACCACTTCGCCAAAGTTTTGAAACGGAAGAGGAACTGACTCCAACTCACTGAGAAATCTTCTGCTTCTACGCCACTACTACCATGGCGTTATTGGTTTCGTGTTAGGGGATTTATGTGTGGGATAAATAGGACTCTCTTTCCGACAGCGACTTGATCCTTTTTTTTTTTTTTTT